TAATTTCAAGTGTAGCTTACTGTTTGTTTTTTTGTATTAGGCTATGTCTATATGATCTTCGTTACTTGATTTATATTTGATAAACCGTTTTTAATCAAATAATGTAAAATACTTACAAATAGAAGTATTTTATTTAAATAAGTACAAACAATTTATATTGATATAATAACTTATTTGCCTGGCTAAAAGTGGCATCCACCTCCGACTTCCGGTTATTATAGCGGCAGCTGACGTCAGCTGCAAGTGGCAGCTACTTCCTGCTGCCAGCTGACCTTTTTTTCGCTGAACCCCCTCTCAGGAATTACCTAGAACCTGAAACAGTATTCTAAAGTGAAAATATAGGGAACCCATTAGTAATTAATAAAGAATAACCACATACTTCTGACTCAAATCAAACTTACTGTAAAAAAAACCCACTATGAATGTAATGTACATTATGATAAGTTTTGCTAATGAAATAAAAAGTTATTTGCAGATCAATATATCCTATAGGTAAATGTCTGCATTTATCTTTCTTATTAGGGCTGAAGAATGACTAAAACTGGAGAAAAAAATCAGTGCTTTTTACTTTTCAAGTACACTGTTAACCCTTGCTGTAAAAAAGGCCATATTTTGACAATATCATACCATTTTCCATTAAAACAGTAATATAACGTAGAAAACAAAAATAGCCTACAGGAATATACTGTAAATTAACAGTGCTCAAAATAGACACTCAGAGGCTGTTTTCACAATCATTCACCCTCATTAGTTCTCTAATATAGTCCACTTGACAGAGTGAATGAAAAGAAGTGAGTGAATTGAGACACTGATGAACACCTGATAAGCAGAATCACTGAATGACAGAGAAACAAGAACAGAAAAAAGACAAACACAAGAACTACAACTGACTTCCAGCCACACAGAGTGTGAAAACCGTTTACAAACCAGTTTAACATTATTTATTTCATATGTGTACTAAAGTTCTTGTTGAGAATTAACAGATATTTAGTTGTTGATGTTTTATTGAAAATAATAAAGTTTGTAGTCACTATAATAGTGGTCAGTATTTGCTTTAGTTAGGCTCTTGACCCTTGACTTTATAACATTAGTTTTTCTCTAGCTGCTTTAAATGTGAGTTTATAAAACACATTTGTTAAGGCAAGAAAAAGCCAAGAGGAAGATGATCAGGTGTTTTTGACCGTTGAGATGATGACATAATCATCCTGGTTATTCAGAATATAAGCTTTGAATTTATGGGTATTTAATAATTATCATATACACTCACCTAGGATTATTAGGAACACCATACTAATACTGTTTTTGACCCCCTTTCACCTTCAGAACTGCCTTAAGTCTACGTGGCATTGATTCAACAAGGTGCTGAAAGCATTCTTTAGAAATGTTGGCCCATATTGATAGGATAGCATCTTGCAGTTGATGGAGATTTGTGGGATGCACATCCAGGGCACGAAGCTCCCGTTCTATCACATCCCAAATATGCTCTATTGTGTTGAGATCTGGTGACTGTGGGGGCCATTTTAGTACAGTGAACTCATTGTCATGTTCAAGAAACCAATTTGAAATGATTCGAGCTTTGTGACATGGTGCATTATCCTGCAGGAAGTAGCCATCAGAGGATGGGTACATGGTGGCCATAAAGGGATGGACATGGTCAGAAACAATGCTCAGGTAGGCCGTGGCATTTAAACGATGCCCAATTGGCACTAAGGGGCCTAAAGTGTGCCAAGAAAACATCCCCCACACCATTACACCACCACCACCAGCCTGCACAGTGGTAACAAGGCATGATGGGTCCATGTTCTCATTCTGTTTACGCCAAATTCTGACTCTACCATCTGAATGTCTCAACAGAAATCGAGACTAATCAGAACAGGCAACATTTTTCCAGTCTTCAACTGTCCAATTTTGGTGAGCTCTTGCAAATTGTAGCCTCTTTTTCCTATTTGTAGTGGAGATGAGTGGTACCCGGTGGGGTCTTCTGCTGTTGTAGCCCATCCGCCTCAAGGTTGTGCGTGTTGTGGCTTCACAAATGCTTTGCTGCATACCTCGGTTGTAACGAGTGGTTATTTCAGTCAAAGTTGCTCTTCTATCAGCTTGAATCTGTCGGCCCATTCTCCTCTGACCTCTAGCATCAACAAGGCATTTTCGCCCACAGGACTGCCGCATACTGGATGTTTTTCCCTTTTCACACCATTCTTTGTAAACCCTAGAAATGGTTGTGCGTGAAAATCCCAGAAACTGAGCAGATTGTGAAATACTCAGACCGGTCCGTCTGGCACCAACAACCATGCCACGCTCAAAATTGCTTAAATCACCTTTCTTTCCCATTCTGACATTCAGTTTGGAGTTCAGGAGATTGTCTTGACCAGGACCACACCCCAAATGCATTGAAGCAACTGCCATGTGATTGGTTGATTAGATAATTGCATTAATGAGAAATTGAACAGGTGTTCCTAATAATCCTTTAGGTGAGTGTATCTGTTAAGCTACTACATAAAAACAATATTTCTGTAATCAGTTATTTTGAAGGATATTGAAATAGTATAGTGCATTAAAACATTTTGAACTCCTGCTTGACTTAGACACACACAGACATCAACAATCAGCATATTAATCTCAACAATGGTGACAATCAAAAGTTTAATGTTGCAATGCATGTTGGGTTCCAGAATAGTATACAGCTCTGAATGAGATCAGTGAATGAACAAGCTATATGATGCTTTTGTCATTATAATCAATATAACCAGAATCATTCACAAACCATGTGTGAGCACATGTGTGGCTTGCAAAAACACAGTTCAAGCTGCAAGAGATAAACTAATGTTAAAAAATCAAAAGTCCAGAACCCAACTAAAGCAAACACTGATCTCTATAATGGTAACTTTGAACCAAACATTTTCAATTAAACATCTTAATAACAACTTCTCTAGATCTATGACATAAATAAAGTCATACTGGTTAATAATAAGTGTAATAATGTGTAATAGCTGGAAGTCAGTTGTAGTTTTTGTGTTTCTCTATTTTCTATTCTTGTGTTCCTCTTTCCTTCAGTGATTCTGCTTGTTAACAGCAGGTGTTCATCACTAATGCTCAACAATCACTTTCATAGTCACTTAATTATCTCACTGCGACACTGTCAATGTTACTTTTTACTCTTTGTAGTGTGGATTTTCCTGTGGGGTTGAAATGGTTAACAGTGTAATATTAAAAAACACACCCACGAAATGTATTTTAACAGTTATAAACTGTAAGATTTATAACAGGTATCCTGGCAACACTGTTGCCTATAGTTCACTGTAACTTAATTATCTCACTGCGACACTGTCAATGTTACTTTTTACTCTTTGTTGTGTGGATTTTCCTGTAGGGTTGAAAGGGTTAAGAGTGTAATATTAAAAAACACACCCACGAAATGTATTTTAACAGTAATAAACTGTAATACTTATAACAGGTATATACTGGCAACACTGTTGCCAGTAATTCACTGTAAAATGTTGTTTTTTTTGGGTCACCATTGTGCTGAAGAATAGAGCTTGTGCTTCAGTCCAGGAGAAGATCTACTAACATTGATGATATGCTGCATGTTGCTTTATTTAACAGGTGGTGACTGTAGTTGTGGTTGAGTGGAAATCTCTTTATTTACAATATTTTTTTAGTGGCTTCAAAATAAATAAGTTCACACTAATACTTTGCTTACATTATTAATGCATTATACATTATACAAGTTAATGCATTTAAATGAGAGTTGGTCAATTTAAGGCAGTCGGTTTCTGCAAGTGAAATTAGTTAACTCAAGTTTTAATTTAGTGCATTTTTACAATAGCATGCTGTAGATTACGGTAAAGAACTGTACAATTAACAGTACATTACTGGCATTTTACTGTAAAAAAAACCTGGAAAGGTCTAACAGTGTACTTTAAAAATGAATTACCTTTGTACTTTTACTAAGGTAATTTTGAAAATGAATAGGCCTAATTATAATTTTACTGGAGTAATATTTTATGTGGTATCTGTACTTTTACTCAAGTACTTGATTTGTGTACTTCATTCACCACTCCACTGCTAAAATAAAACGGATTATTGTAGTAACTACTGTGTATGACTGTTGTTCATTAGTAGTTACTTCATAGTTATTTTTCTTTAACCATAATTAATAGTAGTTTTAGTAGTAGGTTTAGTGCAGGATGCCGAAGACAAGGACACGGGTACTTGAATGCAGTTAGTTTATTAATAAACTTTCAGGAACATACAGGAACAAAGGAAAACACTTCAGGACTTCAAAGCACACTACCATACATCGACGACGACCAAGAAACACTGAGGGAAAACACAGGGCTTAAATGAACTGGGGTTAATGGGAAAATTAACAAGACACAGGTGTTGGGAATTTCTAATTAAACAGACAGGGAAAAACTAACAGGACTAAAGCAAAATCACAAAGACAGGGGGAAACAAGATCACAACACAGAACAGAACACATTAACAATGTAACAGTATGACAGAATTCATTAGTTATTGATTAACTAACTGATACTTAACACAATCATAAAATTATATTACATACTGATTAGTTAACACATCTTCCTTGGTAGTTAACAGTAGTGACTTAAGTGTTAATAAAGAATTACCTATTAGTTCTTCAGTAATTCCTTATTAGTTATGCAGTAAGAAAGAAACAGTATTCTAAAGTGTTACCGCAGAAACAAGCAGAAACAAGCAGAAACAAGCGATAAAAGCATTGCTTATGCACAAGTAAAATAATGTGATCATCAAACATTAAAAATGTTTGGCCATGAAAAATGTGTGAAAGTGATAAAAAATGCTGGCGCTGGCTGGCAACTTAAAAAAAACGATGGCAGGGAAAAAATAAAAGGCATTTCAAACCCCTTTTGTACCCTTTATGAAATGGAAAATGAAAAATGTACTAAATATTAATTTATTAAAAAAGCTTTCATTCAAATTGTCTGACATGATTTGGATCCCTGATATTTACCCAGATTGAGAGGATGATGGAGAAAGCAGGAAGTCGGCGCTTGTTGGAAGTCCTGACGTATCCCGGGGCTGGTCATCTTATTGAACCACCATACTCACCTCACTTTCGTGCAACTAAATTCAACCTATATTTGACAAAACAGAAAGGTAGGTATGTAAGTAGGTATGTAGGTAAGTAACTAATAGGTATGCATGCATAATCAATTGTCTAATTTTCATATTTGATTTTTTTTATTGGCTTAATGCCAGTTCTAGATTTTATTTGTGATTGTGTGTGTGTGTTTTACATCTGTTTTACATGGTGTTGTTGTTGCAGTTCTCGCTCTATGGGGTGGACAAACCCAATCACATGCCTACGCACAAGAGGACGCATGGAATAAGATATTAGCATTTCTGAGGGAGCACCTCTGCTTCAATGAAACACTGCATTATAGAAAAACATCTAGCTGTGCCATTTCAGCTGAGTAACTTAATTTTAAGTTAACCCCTTTATATCTAACCGTTTTAAATCTTTTTTTTTTTTTTTTTATTGATGACATGATGATAGATGTTCTATTGATGGCCAGCTTAAGGATAAATGGTTCTGATTTTTAGTTCATTTTCAAATGAGTTTATGGAGAGATGCTTTTCTTTTTAAGATTGTATGGTTTTGTTTGTGTGCACTTTCTTCTATGTGGACTGACACAAACCTAGATGAACAATCAGCAGAAAGCAGATACGCACAATACATCACCCAGTGTATATGTTACTGTGACCATTTAGCCAAATATTTAATGTATTTAGGGCTTCAAAAACGAATCAATAAATATTAATAAGAAAAATGTTTATTAATTGTTTAAAGCTGCAGTCTTTCCTCTTTGTCGCCATCTCTGTTCGAAATCTGCAATTGCAGTTATTCGCGGAATTATCAACTTTATGTGAGTTGTACCTCGACACGGCACAGCGCGGGTGAACACGATGCTTGAGGAGAGTGTGCAGCTGTCAATCACCGCGCCGGTGTCGATACTGTCATTCAGAATCACAGATTATTCTTTTTGGAAGTATGACCAACATGAGCATTTTCACCGGGAAAATGTCGTCTGAACAAGTAAGACACATCCATTTTTGTTCTGGTTCTGACATTGCAGTAAATCGCGCTGATTAAATCTAACAATTGCTTATCATATCACGCAAAACCGTGCAAATTATACTTTGTTCTCAAATTGTTAATGTGAACAACGTCAGCATTGCGTGACTACATGTAATGTTCTTCCGATATGTATCCTTGTTTTCGCATGGGTCCGGTTGCAGTCTCTTTTTTTTCTGTAGCCACTCCGAAGTCCGAACGAAGTCTTTTGCATTTTACAGCGGGTGAATCTCTAGTTGTCACTGGTGATTGTCGTTTGAACCTTTTTGAATCCGCCATCATATTGATAAGTTTAATTTTATCAAGTGCTGTGAGAAAAGGCTATAAATCTCCACCTCCAAAATTTTCACGCAATATAGCCTACTAGCCGAGACTCCTTCTTAATGTGTACAGATGTGACGTAATGACGTAATGACGCAAAGACATGCTCGAATCTCCAGCGGAAACCCACCAGTACCACTGGAATTAAAAACATTATTACAAGCTTACCGCTTTGAATCGAGCTAAGGCAAGCAGATAGTTTTGAACACTGCCTGGTTATGTATTTTCTCAAATATGTATCTTGGATCATTTTTAACACCAAAAAAGCTACGGACTGCAGCTTTAATAATAAAAAAATAATAAATGCAATAGATTATTAAAATAATCAACAACATTTAGCATTTAATCGTTTAGCAAATAATCACATTTGCATGCTGTGCACAGAAAACATTTGCCAGCCACATTACTTTACAGTCGTGTAGCGAGTTTAGGACTGTCGCTAGCGGAGCGAAGATTCTTGGGGCCCTCTGGGATTTTAATATACATTATCATATATAGACTACACACGATTACAGTTGGAAAAAGATGCAAGCTTGATTTTCGAATGCCCAATCACACGTCATATCTGTAATTAAAGGAAATAAAGTCAGGCTACTAAATGGAAGGTGTCAGAGTAGCTCAAAGACAAGCAAAACAATAGTGACTGTAATAAAACTGCTTGGCTTTTCAAAAATACATTTAGTTTGCATAGCATCGCATTTGCTGTGTATTGACCAAGTTCACAAAACAATGTTTATGTAGGTAACAACATAGATATACGTAGATGCCACATTCGACTGCTCCAGACACGTCAATGTGTCTGCCATCTTGGAACAGTCTCCACATCTTCAGGGGCGTGGTCTCCACATCGGTAAGGAGCAATGTGTCTCACTTCCTCCGCACCAAAGTGATGAATTTACTGGCAAAAGGGGCTATACCTCTTGAAGGGCGTGGTTCAGATGCTTGAGGTCGAGGATGGGCCTGAGGCCACCAGACTTCTTTGGCACGGGGAAGTAGCGGCTGTAGAAGCTGTTCTTCCGACCCACAGCGAGTCAGGCTTTTACAGCCGCTACTTCCTCGTGCCAAAGAAGTCTGGTGGCCTCAGGCCCATCCTTGACCTCAAGCATCTCAACCAAGGCCTTATGAAGCCGCCGTTCAAGATGTTAACATTAAAACAAATCTTATCGCAAGTGTGCCCGGGGGATTGGTTTTTCTCAGTGGATCTGCCTACTTTCATATCCAGATAGCCTCCCATCACAGACTGTTTTTGAGATTCGCGTTCTAAGTGGTGGCTTACCAGTATACAGTCCTTCCAGTCGGACTGGCTAGGAGCGGCATTATATGGGATTATATGGACTAACTTAAGTTATGTTCCTAAAATCTTCTTTTGTGTTTATCTGAAGAGAGTAAGTCATATACATTGTGGATGCCATGAAGGTGATTAAATGATGAGAGAATTTTCATTTTTGGATGAACAATCCCTAGGATCAAAGGAGAGCTTTACTTTATCCAATCAGAGAATGTTCTTAAAGTCTGAAATGATGCTAGGATGTATCAAGGTTGTTAAAGTTGTTCATCTACAAAATGTGGTTTTAATATGCAAATTCAATATTTTCGAAAGTAAAATGAGTTGTCGCAGTGTTACACTAATGATGGTTTTAATGATTTATGTGACACAAGGGATGTAATGTGCAGGTGGTCTTGTGATACACTTACTATACCCATAAAATAATTGTATTTTTTGAGAGCAGTAAATGGAATATAGTATGTGGTGTAAATGTAATACAATTTTGAAAATGTAATAAAATGTACAAATGATGAATGAATTTGTGTGTTCCTTCTACCTCTTATGGTGCCTGTGCTTTTGTTTTGTTTGTTTGTTTGCTTGGAAGCCAGTGATTATAGTTTATAAAGTTATAAATATGGATATTTTTCCTACAAAAATGCATCACTTCGCTTCAGAAGGCCTTTATTAACCCCTTGGAGTCATATGGATTACTTTAATGATGAATGGATGTGCTTTTTTGGGCTTCAAAATTTAAGGTACCATTCACTGCTATTATAAAGCTTGGAAGAGGCAGGATATTTTTTAATAAAGCCTAACTCCGAATGTGTTTGGCTTAAAGAAAAAAAGTCATATACACCTAGGATGGCTTGAGGGTGAGTAAATTATGGGATAATTTTCATTTCTGGGTGAACTAACCTGTAATGACTTTCCAAAGCCATTGTCGTTGATAATAAGAATAAGCAAGTTTAGAACGCGTACAAACAGAGTCCATGCAGACGGATGTACATGCAAACAAATGTCTTTCTTTATTACTTGTGCTCCATTAAACATGGTCTCAAAACTTCTTGTGGCCTTTCCTTGTTCACACATACACACAAAACCATACCTTGTAAACACTGCATTAAAATCCTAAGAAGGGATCATTGAGGGTCGTGTTCGACTGTGGAGCAGCATATAAAGGAACATCACTAAATAGTCAATGGGTATAGGCCCTAACCTTACCAATTCTTTGGTAGGTGTACTGATGAGATTCAGGCAAGAACCAGTAGCCTTCATGGCTGACATTGAAGCAATGTTCCATCAAGTTAAAGTGGCTGAGGAAGAGGTAGATTTTCTTCATTTCTTGTGGTGGCCTGATGGAGAATTGACTAGAGAGCCCATTACATTTAGGATGACAGTTCATCTTTTCGGAGCCATGTCTTCTCCAAGCTGTGCTCGTTACGCCTCGAAACAGACCGTAAAGGACAATCAAGCAGACTTTCCAGCAGAGGTAATTGAAACCATCAACAATAACTTTTATGTATGACTGTCTGAAGAGCGTCTCTTCTGAGGAAGTGGCCATCTCTATGGTTAAAAATCTCACTGTTCTCTGTCAAAAGGGAGGTTTGCATTTAACAAAATGGATCAGCAACAGTCGCAAAGTGTTGCAGCCAGTTTCTGAGGAACAGCGAGTTTAGAATATACAGCAGCTAGATCTGGATTGTCCTAAAAAGTTCTGTCTCAGGTTTGGATCCTGTGTTGCATGATGGACTGTTGCTAGTGGGAGGAAGTATTGGATTACAAACGCCAACTCCGTTGCAAGAAAAATAATTTCCAAGCGTGTCACCTGTAGACGTTATATGGGGGAAGTTGGGTGGCAGACCTTCCAGTGGAAAGGATCACCCCTATTACGTTTGAGTGGATTTTCTTTGCCCATTGAAGTGAAAAAAGGACGGAGTAAAGTGAATCGTTATTAGGGGTCTAACGATACCCTCATGTCGCGATTCGATACATATCACGATACTGAACTCACGATACGATATTATTGCGATACTCCAAGACATTTGGTAAAAGGTTAACAAAAAATGTACTGTTGATTAAAATGCTAAATTTGGTGTTACATTGAAAATGAATAGGCTTGAACTTGGTGCTGGTAACCCAATGCACGGGACAGTGGTGACACCAGAATAAAAATATTCATGATTCTGAAGCTGAAAATACAGAATTATATTAGATGTTTGGTACGTTCAGTAAAAGTTCAAACTAAAAGTAACATCTTAAAACGTCCAATTAACAAGCTTTGTCTTTTATTAGAAGCAGACTAAAATAGGGCATTCAACATTTTAAGTGTTTGAATTTACTGTCACCTACATACATTTGTACAAAACTTGAATTGGTATGGCTCCATTTTGTATGAATTTGTCATTGTTATGTCAATATGTCATAATCCATTAAGGGGCCGGTGTGTAGGAGCTATTTGTTGTATGGCAAAGTTTTTGTTGTCCACTGAGGGGCGCTGTGACTGAGTATAATTAGAGCACCTGAGCTAAAAGTGTGTGCGTTGGTAATTAGGAAGCACACAGATTTTGACTTTTGTAATTACTTTCCAAAGCCGGTGTCGTTGATAATAAGAATAAGCAAGTTTAGAACGCGTACAAACAGAGTCCATGCAGACGGATGTAGGTGCAAACAAATGTCTTTCTTTATTACTTGTGCTCCATTAAATATGGTCTCGTCTCAAAAGTTCTTGTGGTCTTTCCTTGTTCACACGTACACACAAAACCATACCTTGTAAACACTGCATAGCACCTTGTGTGCTACTCTGTAGTGCGGTCAAAAACGGTGTGCTTCCCATTTCCCAATAGCCTACGTGCACAATAGAAATTCCGGTTAACTTCCGTGTCTTGAGTGTGCGGTCGACTACTTCCGTGTAGGTCGTGTTGTTGTAGTGGAGATTTTTCGGAGTCGCTAGTTTTGAGTGGACATAGAAAAAGACATGAGCGGATTTCAGGAGAGGCGGTTGGCGTGTATCAACACGTGAAAAAGACCGCACTCCATTGTTGTGTACCCCTGTGTGCAAATTCGTCCAAGTACAACGGTACTATAAGCTTTCATAGCTTTCCGGTGGA